GTAGTACCAAAATAGATATTAAATGTTATTTTTTATCATGTAATGTAGCTCATGGTCATGCCACACATACCAGCTATTCAAAAATCTATCTCTCTCTCTCTCTCTGTACTGTATATATATTGACAATGCCTTATACAAGATTTGTCAAATATTCAGTGAACAATGAGCCAGTACTCACAGGGCCAGACTGTACTGTATGTACAAATGTTTTGGACAATATAGGGAATGATGGCATAAACTTCAAAGACTACCTGAATGTCGCAGAAAAATGAAGCCAAGTTTCTCTCCGTTCCAGGTTTTGCTGTGGCACCACATGCTCATGACTCACACACACTCACAGACAAAGATAAGTTCCATACACATCACCACAAGGGCATCTTGATGTACATCCATACCTGTGCCAGAGCCCTAAAGCCATGATATGTCTGGTGCCCAGAATCTGTTGGAAAACATTGACTCGTGTATTTGGTTGATTTAAGACTCAAACAAAAATCTGAAAAGAGGGAAACAAATTAATTTGTTTCCTTGTTGCTGCTTTTTTTAGGAGTTGACCAAGGATCCGATGCTTGCTTAGAAAATCTAAAATACTTCCTGTTGCAAGGACATTGTGAGGCTATTGGGTGATTGCATGATCTATTTGACATGATAATAAAAAATCAAACTCTTGAAATTTGTGATTTGTAAAGGTGTCCTACATGCTTGGATAGCCACAATGATAAACTTTTCAAAAACTCTCCCTGTCAGCACAGTTAAACAGGGTTCCATGTGACAGATATTGACATGCTGACCTTACATTTTCCTTCCCCTGCTATGTGACTTTGTATAACCCATCATGCTTTTAAAAGAGCGAGCACAGTCATGTTTCGGCCTCTGTCACCCTGGTTGACATTGGTTTGCTGATTCGCAACATGCATGACTTTGGAGCGGATAGCTGATCATTACAACTGTCATGGTGTGAAGTACGTCGTGAACCAGTGAACTGAAAATTCAGGGGCAACAGCAAATATGAACGTCACACCGCAACCAGTTACCATGAGATGCAGGATATCCAAGACTGTAGCAGAGGGTGTGTTTTTTTTTGTCATGCTGCCTTTGAAGTCCTCATTTAGAGTCTGTGGAGAATCCCAGGAGTTTTACATTTGTAAGTTACAGGTTTGCATCATTAATTCCACACTAGCTGAGGCATTATTTACGTCTCTCTTTTGTCTTTGGGGAAAATAAACTCTGAGATGGGTTGCCGTTTGGTCACAGGGCCACACAGGAATGAAAAAACAAAAGCATACTCACACATCCTCCTGAGGTTAATTCTGCAACTCGTATCAAGCTAATGCGCATTTTGTTTTTGATGGAAGGAAGTCAGAACACCCAGAGAGATCATTCATGCAAAGCCAGAACATGCAAACCCCACACGGTGATATTTTAACTGGGATTCAAACTAAGAACCTCAGAAATCAGATATCTCTTTAGAGTAAATTAAAAAGTAAATGAAGGTACAGGCACGTTTCTTGCACTAAAAAACAAACAAACAAACAAACAAAAAAAAACTAATGAGCAGAAAACAATCTAAGTTAAACTGATATTGATCAGATTAGACGAGCTACATCAGACAAAAGGGACTGTATGTCCATTTAAACAAATGAACACCAACAAGGTATAATGTCAGGGGAAATTGAGGTGGGCCTAGGATTGTTAGAAAAATTCTTACACAATGCATGTTTATACAACAAGCTACAGTTTTCATATTCTAAAATCAAAGGGAATTATTTTACCCAGTAAGATTAAAGGAAAAAACCTGTAAAAAGAGGAAGGAGCAGTCTGTCTGAACAATGCACGGTGAGAACGTTTAGAGAAAGACACATCAAAGGCTCTGATTGACAGCGAGAGGGGAAGTTAAATGCCACATTTGTTTGTCACATCACTCGCATTCATTAACTTATTTACATACTGTGTATTAGTCCCTAAAATGACTGCTAAGCTGACCCTCTGATCAGCAAAACTGCTTTTGTGGCTACTTTAAATGTCATTCCAGTGCTCTTACCTGTTTAATTTTAATAGTTATAATGGAGTCAAATCAATCTAATTAGAAATAATTAGCCACAATAAGAAAACGGATTGCACCAGAATGTGACTTAATTTCAATCCACCACACTGAAAAAGCACAAAGCCATGGTGGAAAGAAAATAAACTTCCCTTTAAAAAGGAGGAATTCTCTGCCTGATCCAGAGCATTCAGTCTGTAGATTCACACAGCCATCTGCATAAAGTAGTGATAAGTAATAAGTAATGACCTTATTTTCTCTAGTGACTGAAATTTTGCACCCTGAAACGATGTCCTGTGCTTCCACAGTGCAATGACCACCTCCACAAAAGGACCCCAAAACTATGCAGAACTTCAGTTTTTGGAGTTCATAGCTTACTTTCATTTTCATATGTTGATAAGTATGTTATTAATGAAAATGTCATATGCACATCAAGACTCATGGGAAGTGGTTAGATCTTATTTTGAATGTCAACTATTGAGATTCACTTGGAATCAAAGAACGGAGTGATCTAAAAGTATGACGTGCTTGTTTTCTGCCACAGAGAGAGTCAGTTAAACTTTTCCCGTTTGATGTGCTGGTCTTATAGAAAAACAGAAGAATAACTTTGTATCAGATCTTGAGGATCTTGGGGAATATGATGTTCATTTGGAGTAATATCTCTTGAGGAACTGAGTATAACAACTATTCTTTAGAAACAAACGTCAGTGGAAAGAAGGACAAACTTTTGTCTCTTTTTGGCTCCACAGACTAAATGAATGTGTCGGTTTTGAGCTCAATGTCTTTTTCTTATCTTATGCTTTGTGCCTTTGCACAACAGGTAACATTAGTATCCTGAGTATTTTTTTCAGCCATGCTCAAGATGTGTGAAATTGCAAACATCCCACCAGCAGACTGTTTTCTGCAACAATTGGCAGATGTCAGTGTAAACATCCATCCCCTATCAGCGAAACGGTGCGCCTGTCTGTTTATTTTGAGTTCCATGGTTTTGTTTAGAACTCTGCTGTTTCGCAATGCCGTGGTGTCATCTGTTTGTTGTTTACATAGAACAAACAATGGATGTGGAAATTAGGATGAAACAGGTTTGAAGCCTAAAGCAGGTTTTTCAGAGATACTCGGAGGCATCTGCGAGCGGATTGAGAACTTAAAAGATAACTTTGTGCCAAACTCACATATGAGGAAGAGCTTTGCTTCCGTTGATGCTTTTAGACTGAGCAAAAGTTTGATACGTTTCTTTAATCCAAAATGTTACAACATTTTTGCTCTAAATGCAAGTTAATGATTAAGCTGCGTACTTTAAACTGAATTGTCCTTGACCTAAAAACCCGCAAATTAGAACAAGGTTGAACAAAGATGATTGTTATTCAGCAAAGGAATCAGCACTAATTTGACCCAATGCTTAGAAGACCAAAATCCATCTATATCCCATTTTTTTCCCTGTATCCCTGCAGAGTTTCCATCTTGCCATGGGATTCACAAACATGTTAAAATAAGAAAAGCCTTTCGCTGACTGGTGGTAGAATGTTTCTATCTGATTGCACAATAACTGAGAATTAAATATGAGCCTGGGGCTAGAGCTTTTCAAGAGTGGTACGACAGAAAGACATGTGTCAAAAGACTTTGGTATAATCTAATTTTTTTGTTTCATATCCCATATTCATATTTGGAGGATCAGGTTTACAGGACAAAAATAAGTGCTCCTATTATACTTAAAGTTTCAACACTGGATCAGCCCATTAAATTCTGTTGGACTACTATTAAATACAGCGAAGACACTCTTTAGGACCTGAAGAACGTCACAAGACAATAAAGATATAACAAAAAGCCTGAAATATGCACAGATGCTGGCTATCTTTCAAATCTCCATCGTTCCAAATTTTTAGCCATCGGTAAGCTCCCCAACAACTGTTATACAGCTCCTGATAGACAGCAGCAGGATTAGTCCAGCTTTTAATCATCTGGAGCTAAACAGCAAGCATCTGTTTCATGCAAAAGGTAGAGGGCTGTATACATGTATTAAAAAAAAAAAAAATTTGTGTGGAAGAAAAATGTTTGCTTGGCTCCCCGTCGAACAATTTTGATTTGATAAACTGCACTTGATTTGACCTTTTTCTGCTGCATAGAAGCCACCAAGATAATCTTCTTTTAAGGTGGAAGAGCTTCAAGCCCATACGTGGACAGGAATTGACCTTCTATAACATAAAAAAATATTCCTCCCTCCCTCTGTTGAAGGTGGTTTTTGGGTAAGACAAAGGCTTAATTTAGGTAAATAAAGGTTACTTTGTATGTGTTTGTGCCAGTTGCCTGTTTGACCTGTCCTTCTGAGCCCGGTGTTTTAGGGTTCTGATAACACCCGGAATCTGGGACAATCTGTGGTGGTGATCAAATAGTCATTCTTGAGTTGTGTTCATGGTCTTTTGTCTTCTTTATTGCACTGCACAGTTCCGGAAGGTCAGTCCATCAATTTACACTATCTGAGCCAGTTACTGTTCATAGTGTGATGATGGGTTCCTATTTTGCGTGAAGAGCGACTGCCCCTGTGATAGATATGAGCAGAAAAAGACCTGAAGAATTGAGCTTCCAACTGAGCAATAAAAAAGACTCCACTCGAACATTAAATTGTAAATAAATATGTGTAAATGTGTTGTCAAATTCATTCAAGCGTTTATATTGTTGATATCTTGGTAAAAAAGGCTCAACTTGTAATAGCAGCTTTTGAAGGAAATATGTTTTTGATAGTTATAGTTATAATATACTGCTATATTTTCTCTTTTAAGCAGTGTATTAAACTGTTGGGGCCTAGATTAGACAAAACAAAACCTTTAGGTTGTTAACTTTAATGTAAATATCAGATATTTCCGAATCCATGCCAGTGCATATATAAATAAGGAGTTTAACAGAACCTTTCTTTTATCCTTCCTGCTCCCAATGCTGCCCAGATGCCCTTTTTCTTAGTGCTCACTCAAGGTCCTCCGGGGAGAACCAACGATGCTCCTGAGCCAAACTCATAATCCCCTCAGCATGTTCTGGCTGAGCTCCGGGTTCTTCGCTCAGTTCGGCATGACTGGAATGTCTCAGCACAAAGCCATGCAGGGGACATCCTTAGAAGCTCAAATTCTTGTCAACAACCTTTTTCTTAAAGCACCAGAGCATTGTTCGACACTGAGCCACTCTCAGAATATCCAAGGGTCTCACTCTTTCCGTATGGGAAAAGATCCTGCGCTGGCTAAATAATATGTATTGACATTTGAAATGATTAAAATGAAGATGCAAATATTGAAGGCATTTTAGCCTCCATGTTTGTTTTGGCCTATTTGACAGTAAATATGTCATTCAATGTTTGGGACGTTATGATCTAAAGTTAGCCTCTCTCCATCTCGTCGGACAATCTCTTAAACTGAGGCCATTAAACGCAGATATCCTCACGGCGTATGCAAATTAACTTGTTTTGGATGACACTAAACAAACTGACCCGCCATCTGGAATGCGTCCATTTGGAACCGATCCAGACAGTGAATGCTAGAACAAAGAGTGTGTCCTCGAAACAAAGTGACAAAAGCTAATCTTTTGTGCTGTTTCGAAAAAATTAGGACAACACTGAAAATGAACAAATGACTGATGCTTGGATCAGAGACAACATGTTGCCTGCACTCGAAGTCTATCGGAACTGAAGAAAACAGAATAATGAGTCGGATAATTATCAACATTTAATTATATATAATTAAAAACACAATTCCAATCGTGCACCACAAAGAAGCGCAGAAGCATTAGAATTTGCAGTGAAGATCACAGTCCATTTCCTGACATTAAGGACACAGGATTTGTTTTTGTTTCTGGAACCTTTTAGTATGTTTCTTTTTTAATGTGTACTATCGGTCATCTGGGTTTTTGCAGTGGAGGTTTTATTTTGTCATGGCTTATCATTTACACAGCATGGATCTGATCTTCTTTCTTTTTTTCATATCAATGTGAACACCTTGGTATTAGTACAGAAACACAGGCATTTGTGAGAAACATTAAAACATTTGTAAGATAAACCTTAGTAGAACTATTTCAATTGATGCAACACACCCCCGATGAATATAAATTAAAAAAAAGACACACAACATTTTGAACACCGTGATATTCACTGGGCCAAACTTAATGTCCCACTGAAGAATTCTAACCATAATTGATGTAAGATGAGTCATCTTTCTAAGGTAGACCCGACAGAATTTGCAAAGCTTTGAATTGAGTTTGCCAACTTGTTGGAAACAAACAATGATCAGTCTCAACATTTTGATCCTTCATCACAGTCAGAGCCCCAGGTGCTGCAGAGCTCTGTGCATGGCAGGATGTAATTCCCAAATCTAACTACCTGTAGTTAAAGTTGTTGCTGACTGTTTTTATGGCATTACACCCAGCTCAGTATTTTCTAACTAAAAGTAGCAATTTGGTACATTTTTATAGACTTCTCAACATTTTCTCTGTGATGCATAAACTCAGGCATTTATCTCCTTTGCATATAAATGTAATAATACAGTTACACAGTTCACATGTCAGAAATTGACTGACCCGCAAACTGGAACGGGCAATAATTGAATTTGAAAATGTTTTTCTCAATTGGTTAGAGATTCTCAGTGCTGTTTTTCCCCCCAAATTGGGCTTCCCCGTAGAAGCAGTCAACTCAATTTGGTTAAATGGAGCAACGAAACAGTCTGAATGTTTCTGCAACCGCAGAGTGAATTAACACAACGTGACGGTGACTCAGATCTAAATGAAAGAAGTTTGAATTAATGGATTGTTGCACAGTTTGCCATGTCTGCTGTAATATATTTTGGGTTATGAATGCCACCTGACACGAATAATTCCGAGCTGCTTCCTCCTGGCACATACAGTATCTTAACTTGGGAAAATTGTGTCCCTGGTGTAATAAATGTAAATCGCTATAACCTTTAATATCTATGTTTGACCCACAGTAACAGCTTTAATTCACGTCACTCTGGATGTCAATTAAAATAAAACTGCCAGTAATTACCAACTGATGGGGTAAGATGATAGCATGTGTACAGTTACTGACCACATGTGTGCGTATAGGTCTGCATATAGTGATTTGCCTCATTTTCATTATAGATATAGTTGCCTAATGGAAATACGATTTATTAATATGTAGAGGTAACCTTATGGATTCAATTTGCTGCCTTTTCCATATCATCCATAACCCCTGGAAGAGAGCGGGAAGTGAGGGAGAAACAATTTGAGAATTTAATTGACAACAAAACCCATAACAGTAAAGACATAATGGCATTTCATTCTCGCAGCTAAAAACAGATTTAGACACTTTCCCTATATGAGTTTTGAGTGAACCCATTACATGTTTTGATTTTTGTGAGTCAAATAAAAGTTTCCTCTTCACCAGTGTTGTTTTGCTGACACAGGTCCTCATTAGAACTAGTCACTGATTAAAAAAACAAGCTCTTCTCGTCATCTCCCTATTCCTCCTCCCCCTTGTGTCTTCCTCACCGTATCCTTCCCCGTGCCACTGGTTCGACATCAAAGGGATCAATTTGCATAGCGAGAGAAGGGAGCACGGAGAGCCAACCTTGTTTCGCTAGTCAGTGTTCTGGTGGTGCTTAATGGCTGCTGACAGATGAAAGGAAAACAGCTCTGCTAACCCAAAGTACAGCCCCTTCTTTTCAAAGTGGCGTTAGAAAAGCTAAATTCCAAAGTAGATGTGAACATCCTCAAAGCTGGCCATAAAAATGCACAAATAATAAATAAGCCAATGAGTACAAACTAACCAATACTTCAGGCGCCACTTCTTACAATTGACTCATTCTGCATGATTTAGTTTGTATGTTTCAGGCAGATTTCCTGTTTCATTATATTGGCTTAGCTATTGTGTGCAATTGGAAGCAAGAGGCACATACTGGTAAATTGTCAAGTAATTCTCAGTTAATGATAGTGTGAGATCACAAAAGGCACATTCACAGTTATTGGATTAATTTGAATTGTGTGCGTATTTTTCTTCATTTATCCCAGCAGGTATTCCTCCTCCCCCTTGTGTCTTTACAAGACGTGTGCATGCAACGTGCAGTATGTGCTGTTGCTTTACATCAACTGTGGAATGTTTTTCATGATGCCGTCAGACTGGAGAACAAGTGACAGAATCAAAGCTGCTTTCATTCCTGTGACCTTGACTGTGAACATTTTGGGGGTGGAAGACCAATAGGAAGAGGAATTTGTAAGGATTTTGAAAAATAAGTCCTTGCTGTGAGCCACGGTGCGATATGGGTTTTCAGAGGTGAAATTTCAACATTTGAAAAGATGATTCTAATAGCTTATTAGATATATCACATCTGCATGATACTGGTTTATAAAAGGTAAATCACAACTAATATATATATATATATATTAATTGCATATCATTTAACTTGAGTACCAACGTTGCCAGTTAAATTTGAAATGAATTCTCCAGTAGTAGTGGATCCCTGAACTCAGTCCAACACATCTGTGCATGAAACTTAAGTATGATTGCCATGCTTAAATGTTCAAACTAGCATTTACATCTGTGATACTGCTCATATCAGAGTGTGGAGGCAACTGTGGAGTCACACTACCTTCTTTTGGCTTTAAAATGTTTTTTGAAATGATAGTTTTTTGGCCACCTGGCATCTTCATTTTTCAACTTTGCACATGTGTAAGAAATTGATAAAGTGTGTGAGGAAAACATTTAGAATTAGAACATTTACAGAATTATGTCATGAACTAACTTCACAAAACACTTGGATGGTACAAGAAAAAGGGATGAACTTTGACTTTTCCATTCACATATGCCCTGTTTAATATGGGGGATTTATCACCTGAACTACTTTGGGTTTTTATTTCCAGAGCGTGGTAAAATACCTCTGAAATTCACTCAATAAAAAAGGCTACAGTGTTTAACTACATCTATAAGCGCTATAAGTGACACTGTTCTCTGTGACATGTTGTCCTTGGGCTGATCCCTACTAGCGTAATTTAAAGGTCCGAAAGTACTGTCTTCCTTTAAGTGTCTTTCCTTCATAGTTTTGATTACACCTACACATTTTTCCACCCTTCCCTGTATGACCTCCATCAACATCAAACTCATTGTTTTAGTGACTTACAGTGGTGACCACCATTAAATGGATGAAACAGGACACACAGGTCACAGTGTGAGGGTCACTTTGCCATTGGTTTGAGATGGTTTACTGAAATGGTATCGCTTCTGATCTGAGAGATTACAGCTCGTGATGTCCCTGATATCCTGCAGGAACTCCTGATGGTGCAGCTACAATGGGGCTGGCGTTAATAGTGTGTGCGTGTATGCGTAATGCAAGAGATAACCTCTCCCGCCTCATTCATGGGTTGATCTGCTTACAACTGAGGCTAATTTCCGTCCCATAAATCCTCTCATTTGATAGCTTCATCTAATAAAATCCTAGACAAGAGAAAGGCAATGAATATAATTTGAAGTTCCAATTTTCTCTCCTATTTTAAGAAGATAACGAGCTATTATTGATTTCCTAGTTTGTGTCTTTGACCTAGTTTTATGTCACTTGGCTCAACTTTCAAGAAGATTCATTCAACAATTCAATTTGTTGGACCCCTGCCATTTATTTAGTGTTTGATTAGCTTTAAAAATTGACAACACACAAATGATGCAATAAATGCCACAGAGATGGAGACGTTTTCAGTAACAGAAAAGAACTCTTGTGAGGAGGCCTTGCAGATACAAATGCTGTCCAACATTCAGAGGGTTGTTATGAGCGCCTGCTTGGCTCCCTGTGTGTGTCATAAAGTGTTCAAACAACACTTCTACCAAACTGACCATAACATTATTTCAATTTAGAACTGAATTTTGGGAACTCACAGCCCTATGCTGGACCTGAAGTTTATCCAAAAACAAAAAAATCGGTATAAATAAATTAGCTTGTGACATTAAGATCGCAGTAATAAGCATGCTTATTACTGCCGATCTTAATGTCACCCCTTTCTTAAACTAAGATATCCATTTCTCTTTATGGCATCCTCCCGAAAGGCCTAGTCTAATTCAATAGGTCAAAAAGCATAAATGTGTAACAGCTGCACCTTGCTTGAA